CCCTTGCTTAGGCCAGGCCAGGTGCATCACGTCTGTGCTCATGCAGCAGGGATTGTGAGATACATTCTGATTGCAGAGATGATAAGACATTCGGAAGTGAGACCCTTAGAGATGACAGCATGTGATGCTCTTTTATTGCTTCTCATAGCATTGTCCCTTTTATGATTCTACTTGAACTCAAACTGTCAGAAAGGGTATAGCAATGAGCAATATGACTGTGGTGCCCAGGATTCCAAAATGAAACCTTCAGTGTTTCCATGCCAACCGGCATCCATCCCAAGAGTTGTCTGTGAATAAGCTGGGTCCACCTGTGGTGTGTCAGCCACTGGCAAACTTCGGAGGCTGCAGGGCACAGAAAAAAACCCAGCCTTGGCTGTACTCCTCTCAAAGCCTAGCATTCTTAGATGTGGAGGTGGCAGACGAGTCCGACAAACATAGGGCAACAAAGGATGCATCCTGTGGCCTGCGGAATGTCAGGGAAAGCTCATGTCCTTCCTTTGAATTTGGAGGGTCAGGTGAGGATGGGCAGACATTTGCAAAAGTAAAGTCTCTTTAAGGGGCCTGTTCAGAAACATCTGCGCAGGAACTAGTCACCTGCCTCCAGGTGAGACTTAAAAACAAACAAACAAAACATACATTTGTTTGTTTGTATTTACCTGTATTATCTATTTAATTTTGTTTTATGGCACCACCTATTAACATTCCTTTAATGCATTTTCAATGTAGTTGATGTATGCTGATCAATTATTTCTCATTTTTTGTCCTTTTTTTTTGAGATGGAGTCTCACTCTCTCGCCCAGGCTGGAGTGCAGTGGTGCGAGCTTGGCTCACTGCAGCCTCCACATCCTGGGTCTCATGAGTAGCTAGGACTACAAGCACGTGCCACCATGCCCAGCTAATTTTTGTATTTTTGGTAGAAACAAGGTTTCACCATGTTGGCCAGGCTGGTTGCAAACTCCTGACCTCAAGTGATCCACCCACCTCAACCTCCCAAAATGCTGAGATTATAGGCATGAACCACTGTGCCTGGCACTAATTTCAATGTGATGTTACTCCCAAGAACTCTTGGAAGTAGGGTAGACATGAAGCAATCAGATGTCCCCATGGACCAGTGATTCTCAACCCTGGCTGTGCATTAGAAGCTGCTGGGGAGTTCTTAAAATACACCCATGTTCACACTCATGTCTGAGACCAATTTAGATTAAATAAACTAGAATATCTGGGGGTGAGGCCCAAGCACTGGTTTATTTATTTGCTTATTTATTTTTGAGACAGAGTCCTGCTCTGTTGCCTAAACTGGAGCACAGTGGCACGATCTTGGCTCCCCGCAGCCTCTGCCTCTTGTGTTCAAGCAATTCTCCTGCCTCAGCCTCCCAAGTAGCTGGGATTACTGGTGTGCACCACCACACCTGGCTGACTTTTGTCTTTTTAGTAGAGATACGTTTTCACCATGTTGACCAGGCTGGTATCGAACTCCTGGCTTCAAGGGATCTGCCTGCCTTGGCCTCCCTAAGTGCTGGGATTACAGGTGTGAGCCACCATGCCCAGCCAGCACTGGTATTTTTTAAATTACTAAAGTTGACCCTAATGTAAGCACAGGTTAGAGCCACTGCACAGGGTGGTGATGCTCAAGGCTTGCTGCATGTGGGTCACCTGGGACGCTCTTAGAGCATATTAATACCTAGGCGCCAACCTATATCAATTGAATCCAAATTTTAAAGCTTCTGGGTGATTCTAATGTGGAGTCAGAATTGAGATGTACTGCCTTAGACCAAAGAAGAATAAATTCTTACTTTGCATCTCATCTCAAATTATGTAACCATGTCATTCAAACAAACCTGTTATTGGTCCTTATGTTATTAAGTCCAAACTTAATTATTGTGCATCAGCCCACACAATAAAAACTTCTTCTACTGGTCAAATGAATTCCTTGATCTTACCCTGAAATTAAAGTCTGGGCATACAGAGATATTATCCGCTTTCCCATTTTCTTCTTCATTTGTTTAGCCCCAGTTGGAGGGGCCTCATTCAAGAATCTAAGTGGAGTCAAAGTTCTGCTTCACCAAGGCCCACAAAATGGTGAGTTGATAGGCTGGGCAAACACACAAAAGCCCCCAACAAATATTCAAAACACCCCAGAACCACATATGGCTGTGTTTGTAGTTTATCAGTCATGTATCAATTCCTCAGTTTTCAAACATAAGTGGCAGGCCCAGACCTATTCATTTCTTACACTCTAGACAAATGATTCTCAAAGGAGGTGCCTGGGCCATCAGCAGCAGCATCTCCAGGGAGCTAATTAGAAAATTCTAGGGCTTTGTTCAAGATCTACTGAATCAGAAATTCTGGGATGGGACCCAGAATCAATAGATCTGATTCAGTAGATCAGAAATGGGGCCCAGGTTTGTAACAAGCCTTCCAGTTGATGCAGAACTCACTCAAATTTGAGAGCCAGTGATCACCAAAGGCTCTTTAATGTAACCAGCTGAGGACCCCTGCAGAGACTGAATGTTCTGTACATGAGCAGGCAGAGAGAAACCAAAGAGATTTGTGATTTTACTTATCTTGGGTAGCAATAGACTCATTCCAGTTGTTCAGAGTCCACCCCTTTGAACTTAGAACAAAGATAACTCTCCATCCAGAGTTTGGATAAGTCTCCCATCGAGGTTAACTGACATTGAGATCACCATGTCTTCGCAACATGAAAAATGTGCACCATGCAAACAATCTTCTTTCTCCCGGAAAAAGTATGTGAATGCTTGGGCAACATTCGGAAATTGCCAGTGTGGCGTCTCCAGGTACTTCCTGAGTCACCATTCTTTCCTTTGGTGTCATCTTGTACATTTAAAACCTTTTGCATTTTTCTTTTCAACTTCCCATTTGTTCTCTATGTCTCTAGCAGCTCAATTCTGAATTTCGTGTGGGTTCTGTGTAGGGAGGAATATAGTCGCCACCCTCCCATGGCCCAGGAATCCCATAATTAAAATGAGCAATACTCCAAAGTAGTCTCACGGCCTTTTGTGTGTCTCACAATGACAGTCTCTGCCACAAATATAAAACAGGGGAAATGAGCCTGGGTAATGGACACAGGCCCCCATCCCTTCCCACAGATTCGTATCACAGAGCAAACAGCCTACATAACTGCCTTCCACTGGGTAGAGGGTTAATGCCTTTTAACTTGGTAGTTTTGTGGTTAGAGGCTCCCAAAAAATAACTTCTATTGTGAGTATTGCACCCTCCTCTACCATTGCAGGAGACTTGCGTTTTCACATATGGCCTGAGTTCCTTCCTTCCCAGCACACCTGCCTGCCAAATCTCATCCCTACCTCTGCCTGAGGACTCCAGATGTTAGTAGTGATGGATGATGGAAACAGGACCAAGTCTGAATTCATAGCTGGTCACAGCAGCACTGCCCCTGGTTCCTGGAGGCAGCCTGGAGAGCAAGCTTTGTTCCTCATTAGTGCGTGAGCTGATGGCCACAAGTTGACATGAAGGACTCCTTTTGTTTTATTCAACATAAAGCCCTTTTCCCCAAAATCTTACTCTGGTTTCTTTATTTTCTTACTCCCTCCACTATCCCCAGCTCTTTTTTTCCCTAGAGCTTTATTGGGGTACAATTTACTTAATAAAATTTACCCATTTCAAATGTATGATTCTCAGTACATTTAAAATTGTGCAACCATCACCACAGCTTAATTTTATCACATTTTTATCACCCTATCTGCAGTCACATCTGGGTCCTTTTTGGCAACTGGGATGCCTGGGCCATCTGCTGTCACCCTCTCCTGGGAGAGCTGATCTCAAAGAGCCCAGAGAAAGTTTATTCAAAAAAAGTTCTTTGTTGCTCCCACCCAAACGCTGCTATTCCCCTAGACTTGGGCTCCTACCATAGCTCTGGCTTTGATCCCTGAGAGCCCCTGTCCCAGACAGTACAGTGCGGGGAGATGGTGTAAGCCCATTTCAACTTCACACACATCAGCAGGCCTGTTCAACCTTGTATGTGAAGCTGCCAACGTGTGCTTCTGTGGGAAGTGGTTAAGAGCCCAGGTTCAAATGCAAGCACTGCCATTTACAAGCTATGCATTGAGAAACTCGCCTCCTACGGCTGCAGTTTCCTACTATGTAAAATGGAAATCAATATAAATATACCATATTCACGAAGAGCCTGGAGTGCCTGTCACATTCTCAGTGACATTCGCAAATGTTATCCCCTGTTCCTAGACTTTGATCACAGTTTTAAAGGGGACTTCCCCCACTTCCAAATTCGGAACTCTCACCACTTAAGAGGTTGAGCGATGTCACCCCTGACAGGTGCCACAGAACACCCCCAGATGCGCAGAACAGGAAGATGTGGTTGGAAATCCGGGGAGAAAGGCTGGAAGAGTTACAGATCAGGAGAGATAAAAAAAAGAGACAGCTGGAAAGGAGGTACCAGGAAGAGGAGGAGCAGAAGGAAAGACCAGGAAACTGACAGTCAGGGGTCAGGGGCCCAGGGCTGGATGATGGGATGGAGCAGCTGGAGACTGAAGGGGGAGCGAGGAAGCTGAATGGAGGGCAGGAGGAAATGTGGGGAGGACGCGTTCTGATGAACCTGTGGTCTTCATATGCTCTTTAAAGTCCAAAATTCTCTATTCCTTGCAGATGAGAGCCAAATACACGTGTTCGGAAAGTATTCTCAAGGTTAGAACCAAAAGCCCCAGGCAAGGCTGGAGTTTACGGTTCATCCTGTGTTTGTCCAGCTCTTGCTGTGGCTCCGAAGTCTATGTCCTCAAGAGGTACCTGCAGCTTCTGGCATCTAGTCAGGGTGACTGGGGACAGCACTGAAAAGGGGGCTGTGGGAACAGCCTGGTGCCGCAGGGCCTCCTCAGCTCGGATTGCTTCCTTCGTTCCAAACGTGAAGAAGCAGAAGCCGTCACAGTGGCGGCCAAGGAGGCTCGCGTGCCACTGTTTGGCCAGGTCTTCCACCCTCCCCCCACGGTCAAACAAGCAGCCATTATTTTTAAAAACTCAACACACATTGGATTTTAATGAGAAAATAACTGTATACTTGCATTGAATGCCTCACAGTCACTATAAAACCAAAGCAGGATAATAACATTTAAGTGGTTAACATACACAGGAAAGCCAGATACAGAGTATAATTTCCAAACACAGTATTGCTGCTTTTTCCCCCTCCTCCCCCAAGAAAAGAAAACAAAGAAAAAAATCATTTGGGTAAAGAGCAACACAAAATCAAAATTGGCAGCTCACTGAATGCTAAAAATTCAGGAAATTGGTTCTTTAACTAAAATGGAATATATTCACCATCTCTAACAGGCTACTTTTTTTCAATACATAGTTTAATTAAATCCATTCTTTAGTTGGGGATAAAAAGGTTTAATTGTCTTCAGAGACAAGAATCAACACTGTTTTAGTGTTCCTTGTTACGCACTATATATGTATGTGTGAGTGTGTGTGTGTGTGTGTGTGTGTATGTGGACACTGATCTATATACGGCTTATATGTCATTGTCTAGGATGAGCAGCATGCATGGGTATGAAGAGGCAAGTAAATTGCATTGCGTCATCCAAGTAAAACACAACCCGGCCTCCTGCCACTGACAGACCCTGTTTCCATAATTTCTGGATGAGAAAGCCAAGGCATGTCAGTAGTTAATCGGCTCTGGAGGAAAAAGAACACCTATACACACAGCAGAATGCAATACTTCCAGAAAGGCTTTTCACATCTACAGAATCTAAACATTTTGTAAGAGGTAAGGTTAACAAGCTTGCGTGCTATTTAGGGGTGGGGCCGAGCATCAGAGGCAAAGTTTTTCATAAGCCTCCTTCTCTTGATGGATTAAACAGGAATGACTTTCCTCCAGGGGACAGTCCCATCTTCAGAAAGTTAAAAGGGTTCATTTGGAATCCCAGAGCCTAGCACAGTGGTATGTACAAAGCGGTGGCCCAAGGTTTCTTGAATGAATAAAAAACTCAAGAGCACAGAGAAAATCTGGCACTCCCAAGTAAACTATAAATTTACATTTTAATGGGATTATAATAGGATCTTCAGTGAGTAGAGCAAGAAAATAGACAGCAGTAATCCGGAAGGCAGCATAGGAGAACTAGCAAAAGTTAAGAGATGTGGGGCCACAGTGAAAACAGCTTTGTGACTGTGGGAGAGTCCCAGAAACAGTGTTTCTTTCCTTATCCACACACACAGCATGGCCCCAGATCCCCCAGCTCTGTAACTCTGATATTCCTTAAGGAATAAGTGTTCTGGTTCAATCAACTGTGGTCAAAGACCACTTCATTGCCTCTGAAGCGATTCTGTGAATAGTGTGGCCTCTTAAGCTTTTCCCTTAGCTGTACGTTCTCTTGTCAAATGTAGGTTTCATGTAGCACACGGTTTCCTTCAAAACAGACCAAAAAACTTTAAGGTAAGTCATAAGGATGGTTTCCTCTTATGAAAAATGGGGGAGTTATTATCAAGTCTATGGTCTCTAAAAGATCCATGAGTCAGTCTAAGAAAACATGCAGCACATTTTTCGTGCAACCCATTGAACTATCCTGCTCTCCAGCCATCCTAACTGCCACCGTGCCTGGCGCCTGCAAGGCTGCTGCCTCTGTTCTTATCCCTGTGTCTGCCTTGGGAACACCTCCTCGTCACTGAGTCCTCAGCCCAGGCATCTGGGACCTCTAGCTGGAAATTCTCAGGCAAAGACAATCCTCCTTCCTGGGTCCTCCCATTCCACGTCTGGACTTCTAATCTAACACGGATCTCATTTTCCTGAGAATGTTAGTCTCCATGGCAGCCTCTCTCACTATAAAATGAATTTCCTGCAACAGGGATCTTATTTATTTTGTGTCCCCAGTGGCTAGCACATTTTGTTGAGAATTCATTCAGAATATTCAGGAGAATGAACCATATAAAGATGGTGCCAACTGCCCATGTCTGTTTTGGCTGCCATCTGTAGAATGTGGCTTCAAGTTACAGGTTCCCTTGACAGTTTTAAAGGATCCTCGTTAGTAGATGGTTCCTTTTTTTACTTTGTGCCTACTTCTCATTTGTGAATAAACTTCGCCCCCAAAGTCAACACTAGACTAATGAAAGAAACAAAGGAAATGTGCATTAACATCTACATACAAATTTTGTGGAATTGCTATTTGTTAGAACAACATACTAGAGCTTATGACATAACAATATAAAAACAAAAATGATTTTTAGTGAGGTCTTACTTAATTATTGCTTTTTTAAAAACCACAGTTTTAAAACAAAGGAAAAAAAAAGAGAAGGCTGGTTATTTTTTTTTTTCTCTCTCTCTCTCATTGCCAGAATTGAACATTTTCTCATCCAGAAATTTAGGGCACCAAATTATTGAATACCCTTATCATATTGCTTTAAATGACAGAAAGATTAAAGCTGGCATCCTCTATAGTATACTAAGCATGAATACAAAGCATGAGAATAAATAGGAGACTTTCCTATGTGTCAAATTACAAAACTGCTCAAAACTCTGCAACTGTGACTCATGCAAATACCTTGTTAGGTCAATTTAATATTACAAATACTGCATCAGCTCGGTGCCTTTATATCCCTTTTCATAAAAAAGAAATTCTCACTCACTCCTGAAGCCAGCAAACAGCTTTGGAGGAATTACCTGTACACCCAAGTGCCATGGTCATGCTGGAATTTTAATCCATACACACATACACCATTACTCGTGAACATACACATTTTACACAAACACACAGTGGTGTACACACACACACATCCCGTCTTTAGGATTTGTAGCTGATTCCAAGCCTTCACTTAAATTTCTATTCTATATTTTTCTTTGTATAATCCTGAAAAACACTGGTTGCTCAGCAAAAATAGTATCTCTTATCTCCTTATTTTGTTCCCATTCTTTCTTCCTCCCTCCCTTTTTCTCTCTCTACCTTCATTACTTTTCCTTCGTGTTTCCTTTCTGATTGACCCCAAAAGAATCCAACATTCTTCTTCCTATCTCTAAGGCCCAGTTTATAATACAAAATAGTTAGAAACACCTTTTTATTTCTTGTCATCCACCTCTCCAAGGCAGAGTTTGCCTTTTTTTTTTTTTTTTTTCAATTATTGCCACTCTAAAAATACCCCTACCATCTTGAACCAAGTTGTTCAATGTAGACAGATTCTACACATGTATATATTCCCCCATCCCATCATAAAAATAGTTGTTGCCCACTAAATATAGTTTTCCTATGAAGAAACGTAACTGTGAAAATGTGTTCTCATAAACTGCAGATCAGCGAAGAGAATAAGCAGACATGATCCTAAAGCTAATACCATCCATTTGGTTTGGTTTTCTCTTCCCCTTTCTCAGCCTCCTAATGTAGCAGAGATTGTGTTTGCAACATGAAGAAACATTGTCTTAAAATGTGAATTGTACGAACTGTGATCATGAATTGTTCTCAATTAAAAATAATTAAATGTAAGAGAAGTGGAATCATAACTGCCTCTTCTGGGCAAATATGGAGAGAAACACCATTCATTTTATGGCTGCTGGAGAAAATGGAGTTAACGCAACACCCTCTGACGCTGTGAGCGACAGGTGGGAAACTGGTGTAGGGAAATGTCCTGTGCCATGTAGGTTACACCAGCCTGGGCCCTACTGCTCTCTAAGTGGTCCTGTCACCATTGTCCTTCATCACCCAGAGAGGCTGGTCTCAGTTCTGCCTGTAGCAGCTACGTGGATTTGCTTGTAACATCATTTGTCCTTTTGGATCAACTGTGGATTGGCCCAAAACCAGACACTGGGACTAAGTCACCAAAAAAAATCCTTTCTCTTTTGACTCCTGGGTGTCCAGAGTCTGATGGGTGAACTTCCTTTTCATCTTATTTTTCATCATTGTGTATTGCAGTTTCTGGTCTACATAAGGATTGCTGAGTTTGTTTGCACTTTAATAAATAGTCCATTAAAATGCTTTCAGTTGTTGATTTCTTGGTTTCTTGGTCTCCCAAGCACCAAAAACGCTTCCTGGGTTAAAGGAAGTTTACTCGTTGTCTTCTTCCTCCTGGTTGGCATAGATCCCTGCTTCCCAGCGCAACGCCAGTGCGCTCTTTCTTCGATTAACCCGTGTGGCCTCAAGGACCTGTAAAGAGAGGGGAAAAAATTATGCAGAGTTCATGGATGTTAATTATGAACACAAACCAATTTCTCTGTTTCTTTCTTCCTTTCTCTTTATCAGCTTGAGAGGAGAAAGTGATAAAGTGTCTAGTACTGCGGCAAGATAGGAGAGATGCTGGGAAAAGGGAATGGGAGGTTCTGGTTATGTATTCATCTCACAGCCAAAATTCATCTGCTCCTTGATCCCTGGTTTTCACTACAGAGAGATTTAATTTTCATGAAATGTTCTGCAAGTTTCTTTGAACTAGACGTGACTCTGTATCAAGTTTTCAGACAAAGAAGATCCCTGCACACAATAGATCAGTGCTGTCCAATTGAACTTTATGCAATGTTGAAAATGTATCTCTGCTATCCAATATGGTAGCCACTAGCCACATGTGGCTATTGAGCACTTGAAATAGGATTAGTATGGCTGAGAAGCTAAATATTTATTTCATTTTAATAAATTTTAATTTGAATAGCTCCACGTGACTAGTGATTACCATATTGGACAGCACATTGTAGATAGTCTTAGTCTCTTCATAAACAAGCAAACCAGAAAGTAATTCCAAAAAATGGGACCAGTGTGGATTCAGTCCATCAAGCTTTGCAGACCTACCTAAGCTATAATGATATTTATAGTACAAAAACCCACTTCGGCAAAATTAAATGAAAAAAGCCATTAAATGGGGGAAAAAAAGGGTTCTTGGACCAATAAAAGCAATCTCAGCATTCTGATGCAACTTCAGGCCTCCTACGCTAATCAATGAAATGAAAGGTGACAACATTAAGGACAAGTAGGCCCACCACCACTGAGGGAGAGCCTCCCTTCCTCCTGTTCACTAGAGCAGTCTGTGGACTCCTGAGAGGAGACTTCAGCCTATCTGCTCCAGTTTCAGTTTAATCAAGAAGAGATTCCAGATGAATGGCATTTAGGTTGCCAACATATGAAAATGGTTCTATTTCATGACATTGCAGCAAATGCAAGCCCAGGCATGCTCACCAATTGCCCTGGCATTTGCTTAGGACATATAGTTTCTGATTTAAAAGAAAAGTTCAGTAGAGCCAACATTGGTTGATTACCCAAACTGCAATGAAGGCATTGCTCATTCTAAATGTAATCAGTTAGGCAAGGGACAGTGATATTGGTGATATGGATTGGCTGTGTCCCCACCAAAATCTCATCTTGAATTGTAGCTCCCATAATCCCCTCAGGTAGTAGGAGGGACTCCATGGGAGGTAATTGAATATGGGGGCGAGTTTTCCCATGCTGTTCTCGTGATAGTGAATAAGTCTCACCAGTCCTGATGGTTTTACAAAGTACAGTTCCCCTGTACGCACTGTCCTGCCTGCTGCCATGTAAGACGTGGTTTTGATTTTCCTTTGTCTTCTGCCATGATTGTGAAGCCTCCCCAGCCATGTGGAACTGTGAGTCCATTAAACCTCTTTTTCTTTCTAAATTACCCAGTCTAGTTTACCTCTTCATAGCAGTATGAAAATGGACTAATATAGTTGGCAACTCCAGAGAAGCAAGGAGGTACAGTTACAGGCAGAGGTGGGAACCCAGACATAAGCAGATTCTGGGTAGTTGGGAGATCTGGGAGTCCATCTCAATTTGCTTCTCTGCACTTTTGCCAAATGAATGGACCACCTACAGCTTCAACGTGCTTTCCTCTGGGAAGCCTCCCCTATTCCTCCTCAGGCATGTTTGCTGAATGAATGATGCATTGTTAAGCACCTAAGCCATGTCATAATGTGTTTTGTACATGGTCACTCACTCAATATCCACAGATATCTAAGAATAACAAATGAGTAGGAGGAAAGCATGCTTCCAAATCTGCTATAGTTAAACAGAGAAATTGTCTAATAGCCTAATGTGTTGTAGCATGGAACTGAAAAACAGCACTGGATTGCACGTGGAAGTCCTGGGCTCTATTTCCAGTTTTGTCCTTTGTTGTTGATCTTTTTTTTCTTTTTTTCTTTTTTTTTTTGAGATGGAGACTTGCTCTGTTGCCCAGGCTGGAGTGCAATGGCGTGATCTCCGCTCATGGCAACCTCCGCCTCCTGGGTTCAAGTGATTCTCCTGCCTCAGCCTCCCTACTACCTGGGTTTACACACATGCGCCACCACGCCTGGCTAATTTTTGTATTTTTAGTAGAGACAGGATTTCACCATGTTGGCCAGGCTAGTCTCGAACTCCTGATCTCATGATCCACTCGCCCTGACCTCCCAAAATGCTGGGATTACAGGTGTGAGTCACCACGCCCAGACTGTTGTTCATCTTTTATCTCACATTTCTTTATCTATAAAATGGATAACATACTTACCCCACTTCACAGGTTTTCTCAGAGGCACTGTGGACTCTGAAGTCCAGGCAGGTCTACTTTAAATCCTCGTGACCTTGGAAAAATCACTTACTCCTGTGCCTTAGTATCCCCATGTAAACTGGGGATCATAAAATCTACAGTATAAAGTTGGACAGGGAAATAAATGAGGCAATGTATGAAAAATATTTAGTATAGTTCCCAGTGCATAGTAAGCTCTAAAGCAGAGCCTGCTATGATGGAATAATTATTTCTGTCATCATGTGAAAGGGATTTATAAATTATGAAGTGGCATATAAATACATAAGGTATTTTATAAAGAACTCTACACTATATAAAAGGATCATCTCTTTGCCTTTCGGATTGCAGATACAAACAGAAAGGTTTACATAAAAGCTACAAGTAAATCTAAAGTTCTAAAAATTACGGTCCCCATCCTCTTGGAATGTTCTTTTTCTTGTTATTTAAACCGATTTTAATTCTCAAACAACTTGAGCAAATTAAGTTTGCTCTGCTCTTCAGGAACTCTTGTTATAAGCCATCTATCAATCCAAGTTACACATATTTATTAGTTTTTTACCAAGTATAAGGCACAGCGCTTCGTGTTGAGGATAGAATAGTCCCTTCCCTCATGGAGCTTAGTAATGAAAAGTGTAATGGGCAGAAAAATAATATTCATAATTATGGAAGCATCTAGCTTAGCTTGGGTTTGGACATCTGCTTGTCAAGAGCCCAAATAATTCACTTATACCAACAATGAGCTCTCTTCATTCCCCTAGTTTGTATGCCCACTTACCATGGTCATACAATCACTTACCATGGCCATACAATAAATTTCCAGTGAAATCTAAAGCCTCTAGTAATGGCACAGACAAGAAAATAAACATCATTACTGAAATACCCGGCAACCTTGATATAAAGCTGCCTTTGGGTTCATAAGGCTTATGACCCAGGGCTGTCTGGCAGTAAAGCTGCCCTACAACTGGTCTTCAGAAGATTCAAAATCCAAGCCCTTGGGGAAGGCATGTGAATGAGTATCTGTTCTGTAATTAATTCAGGCACACGTGTGCACATCTGTGTGTGTGTGTGTGTGTGTGTGTGTGTGTGTGAGAGAGAGAGAGAGACAGAGTGTGTGTGTGAATCTCTAGCAATTTAGAGCTCTTATTACTTGTTTATTACTGCATGTTAACTTTACTTTCTAAAGTTCATCCCTTTTATTTCTGGGCAAAAAAGCACATGTCTCTGGGGCTCTAATAATCGTCATACTCACATCCTAAGTAGTATGCTACTGTTTGAACCCTCTCACTACTAGTCTATGAAATCCATGCTGTTACTACTCCCTTTTGAGACGGAGTTTCGCTCTTGTTACCCAGGCTGGAGTGCAATGGCGCGATCTCGGCTCACCGCAACCTCCGCCTCCGAGGTTCAGGCAATTTTCCTGCCTCAGCCTCCTGAGTAGCTGGGATTACAGGCACACGCCACCATGCCCAGCTAATTTTTTTTGTATTTTTAGTAGAGACAGGGTTTCACCATGTTGACCAGGATGGTCTCGATCTCTTGACCTCGTGATCCACCTGCCTCGGCCTCCCAAAGTGCTGGGATTATAGGCATGAGCCACCGTGCCTGGCCACCCATTTTTTATATGAAGAACCTGAAGCATAGGGAGGTTAAGTAACTTGCCCAGAATTACCCAGTTAGCAGAAGGCAAAACTAAGATTTGAACTCTGCACTCTGGGTACAGAGTTGATGCTTGAGGCCACCAGACTATCTGTCTGCCCAGTGGCTGTAAGGAGTCCAGAGAAAGATGCATCAGAGAAGAGCTATCAACACTCCCCAAGGAAAAAAGATCTGTTTTAAAGTTGTGTGACTGGGTGTGGTAACTCGGGCCTATAATCCCAGCACTTTGGAGGCTGAGGCAGGCAGATTGCTTGAGGCCAGAAGTTTGAGACCAGCCTGGTCAACATGGTGAAAATACAAAATACAAAAATTAGCCAGGCATGGTGGCGGGAACCTGTAGTCCCAGATACTTAGGAGGTTGAGGCACGAGAATCGCTTGAGCGTGGGAGGCAGAGGCTGCAGTGAGCTGAGTTCACGCAACTGCACTTCAGCCTGGAAAACAGAGTGAGATTGTGTTTCAAAAAAAAAAAAAAAAAGTAAAATAAATAAAGTTTTCTTGTTTTCACAAATTCACATTCCGGTCTGGTGGAGAAGAAACAATTATCTTTCAACAACACTTTAATATGAATTTTTCTCTCTAATGCTTAGGGTGACTTAACTTTGGAGAGCAATCAGTATAGACAATTTTAATTTGGAGATATGAAACAAAAGACAGATATGTTAAATAATATCACCCTACTCATATTAATATTTATATTTCACACCCCTATCTGCTCTTAAATTGAAGACAGAGTGAGCCCAACTCTATCTTCCTGGGATATATTTGACCAGATTTTCATTGTCTTAAATTGACTCAAAGGGGAGACGGGCTTAGTACTAATTCTCAAACTGCCATCCTGCAAATGAGAATCACAATTAGACTTAAAGAAGGTACAGAATGACATTCTCAATATTCATTTCGTATCTTATGAAAGGAAATTCTCAATATTCATCTGATATCTTATGAAAGGAAATTACTGATAATCAGCAGGTCAGCTCTATATTTAAATATAATTCTTAGGTTAAATAGAGTGACCAAAAAACTTATTATGCCATAGGTTAATACAATCGATTTTAAAACTAATTTACAATATCTAGTAAATGTTAGGATGTTTCAGCCTAATAGTCAGTACTTCTCCTCCTAGATATAGAGAGAAGTTCTTCCATAGGTACATAAAGAGACATGTATAATAACATTCAGAAAAGCATTATTTCTAACAGTTAAAAATAAAAAACAAAACTGGAAATAGTCTACATTTCCATCAATAGAAGATTGAATAAATAGTGATATATTCATTCAATGGAATACTATACAGCAGTTATAAAAAATGAACCAGAGCCACACTGATCAACAAGGACACATCTAAAAACAATGCAGACAGAACAAAGTCAGGAGCAGCAGATACTGCAACATGACTTACCATTTATACAACGTCTTTAAACATGCAAAAAATCAGGTGTTGTTTATGTATATATACATTTGTATAAATATAAAACCATGCATGGAAATGATGAACAACAAGCTCAAAAATAGTTACTTCTAGGGATTAGAGGGGAGGAGGGAACTGGGAGAAGTAACAAGAGGGATTAAATTGTATTTGCAATATTAATTTCTTTTAAAAATATTAAATATGAAATGATAAGAATGGAAAAAGCTGGGTAGGTGGGTTTTATTATTTTATTATCTTATATTATTTTGAATGCCCGTTCCATGACATCAGGAACCTTGTTTTGTTGACTGCTGTATTCTTGGAACCTAGAACAATGCCTGACACATAGTAGAGCCTCAAAAATTGTTAAATGAATAAATGAATGATTCTCTCTACAATTCTATATATTTGAAATAATCTTTTTAAAATAAAAATAAAATATAGAAATAAACATGAAAAATATTGTGCTTTCTCAGCAAAAACAAGAATGGACAAAATAGAAAAAAAAATTTAAAGAGAAAAATATTACGCCTTCTCACAGCACACATATTTGTGAAATCTGTGTGAAAGGAAAGAAGACTTTTGGGGACCAGGAGCAGTGGCTCACACCTGTAACCTCAATGCTCTGGGAGGCTGAGGCAGGAGGATCACTTGAGGCCAGGAGTTTGAGACCAGCCTGGGCAACATAGCGAGACCCTGTCTCTAAAAAAAATTTTTTTTTAATTAGCTGGGCATGGTGGCACACACCTGTGGTTCCAGCTCTTTGGAAGCTGGGGTGGGAGGATTGCTTGAGCCCAGAAGGTCGAGCCTACAGTGAGTCGTGGTTGTACCATTGTACCACTCCACCCTCGACGACAGAGTAAGACCTTGTCTCTTAAACAAGGAGGCTTTTGGAGAAATTAAAGCTTCGAGTTCCTAAGATAAAAATACATGTTTAAAGATTGGAAGGAGGGAGGCCTGGGATGGTTCACATTGGATAAATCTATAGATTAGGATGGTTCATCTTAAATCTATAGAATGGAAATTTCTAGCTTTATGTTAAGGTCAACAAAGAATGAGTGAAAATCAATAGCTCAATCTGCATGAGCTGCACTCTTTTCCAACCAGACCAAGTATACTTGCTATTAACACCTTAAGAAACTCTAAAATCCAAAATAGCCCATCACTTGTATCCTGTGGTCCAAATGCCTTCAAGATCCGTGAGCAGGCAAGGTCTTCCCCAGTACCTTCCCGCTCGCCCCCGCAACACGCACAGCACAGCACAGCACACCATTGTGTAACACTGTTGCATGGACTCCAACATTTTGAGGCAGTCCCATCATTCAGAAAAGGCACACAAAAAAATACATATGGAGACAAGCCATGTTTCTTGCCATTTTCATTTAACTCATCAGGAAATGGCAAACCACAACAGCATGCACCTAGATCATGCATTCAGTAAGACCAAGACAAACAAATTGAAAAGTACCTCGGAAGTCACCTTGCAAGACAGTAACTTAGAGGTGTACTGGCAGAGAGGGAAAAGACCAGGGTTAGTACATGGCAGTGACACACTTACAGAACACCCCCTAGCCGGGAACAGGCACCACACCAGGAGTGGATGGGAAGGGAAGTAATACCAGGAGACCATTCCACACCCATGCCAAGACTTGCTCTATCTGATATTAGTTTATTTACAAGTCTGTCCTTTGCGGCAACTAAATACCCTATTATTCACTAACAAAAATATCAGATAAGCCATACTTTGTTAATTCAAACTGTTGCTTTCATTTTCTGCACTTTGAATTAACAAGATTCCTTCTCTTCTGTACACAACCAGCTGCCCACCGTCAAGGTCCTTGGGAGCCATTTTGGATTTGCTAGAATCTGTAGCCAAATAGCCTTTTCTCTTCCCGTAGGCTTCTCTGAACCCCAGAGCCATCTCGTAACCAGTTGTTCCATTAAAAGAAGATCCTAATCACAGGAGTTGGGTTGTGGAGGCAGATTCTCTGAAACTGACCTAAGGGTAGCCCTGCCTAGGCAGACAGACCATACTGCCTCTATCAGAGCCTTGGGGGCCTGGATGAGGTGCTGAGAGTGGGATCATCTTTTGATAGCAATTTTGGATGACTATTTAGCATTAGTATGAGCACTTGGGAACTGAAATGTCCTTTAGTTCCTATAGGGGACTAAAAGTCTTCCACAAAATACAGAAGAAAGTGGCCTGACTATGGGAAATGAGACAGCAGGACCAATTTGGGGCAGCCCTCTCCAGAATTACGGTAATGAGCACACATTTACACTGCTTGGGGCATTTAAGGCAGTTATTGGTTTGGGGCATTGATAGCCATCGACTAGTTAGTAGAATCACACATCTGTGATCACTGACTGCTTCTTATACGTAACACTCAGGAATTACAGTTCTGTCATGATTGGGATAACGGTGAGGAGCTAACAAGTCAGGGGCTCTTCTCTCTCCTTTGCACCTTCCGTAGGATAGGAGTGAGAACGCAAAAGTGAGAGTTAGGGGAGCACAAAGCATCACTCAGCTTCCTGTAGAGTCTGGGTGAACGGGAGGCAGATGGGCTTCCTTTGCTCACTCAGCGGGAGCGTGGCCACAGCTCTCAATGCATGACCTGGTCTGGAAGGGTTACGTGTGCCAGGAACTCTCAGCTTTGATGTAGCCCAGGAGAACTGATGAGGTCTTCTTTTGTTCTAAGACAATACAGAGTGGTTGGATGACCTCTCAGTAATTAAGTCTTGGGATGAGAAAGAGAAGGAGAGTACACAGGAAAACCCCAGTGAGAGCAGATCCTGTGCTAGAAGTAAAGATGGGGCTGAATACCTGGGAGGCTATAATTTGGACTCTAGCAACATCCCTTCAACTGAGAAAGATAAAGCAAACCCTCCAGATATTTATGAGCATCACTTACTCAATGACCCATCATCTTCTCTTTTTTGAGGCTCAGGTCAGGTTGGGGAAACAATTGGCTAGAAAAATACTGTTTGCTTAAATACAGTCTTGTAATTCAAGAGGGACTGATGAATAATAGTTTCCTAGAGGGATTCTTCATGCCTAAAGGAAAAACATCCAAATAGCCCATCATTTGTGCCCACTGATCCAAATGTCTTCCAGATCCATGAGTGGGCAACCCCACCTTGGAGGCAGTCCCTTTGCAAGGCATCAAGAAGCCCTTTAGGAAACTAGGATTCGCTAGTCCATTATGAATTGCATGACTGAGCTGAAATGGTATGAGACCCAGATAAGGGGACATTTCCACGTAAGAGAACATTTCCAGATAAGAGAAACCCACAATATGAGTAGGATTGCTGCATCTGGTGTGTGGTGTCTGCACTGCACAAAAGTGCCAGGCTAAAGGGATGAATGGTGCTGAAGCCCAGTCCCCTATTGTACCTCCAAAATGTGTGGCTGGTGCAGGGCTGTATCTTCACAAAGGAACAAGGGTGGTTTTCTTCTAATTCACACAAAGGCCTTGCAAGGTTGGTAAACGGCCCTGGGTAAGTGGGTAGGGGTGGGGATAGTAATTCTCCTGCTCCCAGAATTAGCCAAGAGGTCCTTTAATAAGTGAGGCTGGAGATACTCATTGGTGACTGTGACATGCAGGACAAAGAAATCAGCCCAGGTGGGTGAGGACTATAGCCACTAAAGGGAGTATTTTGCTCAAGTTCTGAGCTAGTAACAAATATGGCCGGTTGGGGATAACTTTTTTTTTTTTTTTTTTGAGATGGAGTCTCACACTGTTGCCCAGGCTGGAGTGCAGTGGCACAATCACAATCTTGGCTCACTGCAATCTCCGCCTCCTGGGTTCAAGCAATTCTCCTGCCTCAGCCTCCCAAGTAGCTGGGACTACAGGTGTGTGACACCATGCCTGGCTAAGTTTTTTGTATTTTTAGTAGAGATGGGGTTTCACCACATTGGCCAGGATGGTCTCCATCTCCCGACCTCGTGATCTGCCCACCTTGGCCTCCCAAAGTGCTGGGATTACAGGCGTGAGCCACTGCACCCGGCCAGGGATAACTTTTTTATAGCACTACTCCCTGACTCCCATATGCCAGGGGCCTCCCTGCATATTACTTTTTATAAAGTGGAAAACTGGAGAGAGCAGGGCCCAGAGCCGAGTCTCTGTGGACAGGACTCCAGAGGCCACCACAGCTCTCATGGGGGTTCAGGGGACACTGAACCTGTTTTGATGGCAAAGATCAGTTTTTCTCACTCAGCAAAACTTCCGGCATAGCCACATTCTATCTTTCTCCTTCTCTGTCCTTCGCCCTCCTCAATATCATTGTGTCTAACTTATCACACTTTATATACATTCCAATTATTAGCCTGTCTTGTTTTTAACTCTGCCTTCTCCTTAGAAAGAATAGAAAATAAGAATTATTTTTGCTCAATTCGTAAAGAACTGTAACTTTCAATGGGCAAACACATGGTTGTGTTCTAATCATGTGACAGGCACTGATTCTCAGGTGTGGTTTATCATCTCCAAAAGGCCATGGCAAAATGCTGCTAAGAGTTCACTGGAAAAAATATCGGCAGATGGAGGTGCTGGGGGTGATGCTGCATAACATGGGGAGATGCTGGGCGTGTAAGTTAAGCCACTGAGGTGCTTAAAGGGTGCAGAGTCTAAGAAGCCATGTTTCTCCCTGAGAATAGTGTATGTAAGTGGAGGCCAGAGACCTGAATTACTTTATCTTTCAGAGAATTACTTTAAGCTTCTACGGATAGGTAAGCCAGTTACACAACTCAACCACCCAGGATCCACCTGCTCTCTATTACCATCGTTCTGGTATAAGAGACAATTAAAGGAAAAAAAAAATGAAAAAGGGGCCACAGATTGGCTAGGGAAAAAAAATGAATCTTTGTTCATCCCTACAGATAAACTTCAACATATTCACCAGCGATCGACATAGATACGGGAGAAAAGGTCCTCTCAATCGGAAGGGCTCGGAGAGGGCTCTCATTCGAAGTCTGACTGAGGATCGCATCTTTGCTTTAGAGGCAATCTGAATTTATTGTTTTAGATTTGGGTCTCTTAAATGAGCATATAGCAGATTGGTAGATTTTGTCCTGCTCCTAAGAATTTTCAACAACAACAACAAACTTGGTTCTGTTGTAATAGCAATAACAGTGCAAAGATCCAAGATCCAGGGATATTAACAGCTTAATTAGTTAGGTCTCTTCCTTTTTCAAAATGTTTATTTACTCGGAAATATAGAGACAGGAGGCTGCCTGTCTAAGGGAGGGGCAATCAGCATATTAAAACTGACTCCAGGCAGCATCATTCATGCAAAGGACAAACCCAACCTGGCTGGCATTCGTTAGGCGGCTGCCGGAGTGTCAGTGTGTGCAGGAAAGAGGCTTCCAGCCCTCTATCTTTATGAAACGAGTGAGAGCTGCCTCTACTCTTCTGTATGGAGTATTTTTCTCTATCGTCTGCACTCCGATACAAAAGACATACACAAGTGACAAGTAGAGTGTGCTCAGCAAACACTCACATGGGTCACAGACTAAGTGGTTCTACTTGTGCTTCCCCATCCACACCAGAGTGTGGGGCATCCACTTGGCTAAATTCTACCAAAGCTGCTGACTTATACGGCAGAGTCACTGGGAGAAAAGCAACAAGACACCTAGGGCACCAAGCCTCAAAATGATCTAGCTTCCAGAACATTCCTAAGGTAAACTCTATCCTTTTAAGCGGTGCTTCAAAGAAGGACTGGTGAAAGTGACTGAGCAGCCAGGGAAAAATCCTACAGGCTCACGAAAGGAGCTGCTGCCTCCCCTACAGTGAAGTTTAACAGTGGAAATGTCTGCAGCAGCTACCAAGGGCCAGGCCTCATCCCACTGTCTGACACAGGCAACAGCCCAGTAAAACAGCTGCAGCCTGAGAGAGCAACTGAGCCAGTGCTCCATGCAGTTCAGGTGTAAACACAGGGAAAGTCTGGCAGATGCCGAGTGAGTAGCCAGGCTGCCATATATCTGTTTGCTTTCCTCCTTTCTTTACCACCATGTATTTTGAAAGTAACTCTCAATTTCTGGGCTTCACCTCCAGGAATCCTTTAACTTAGCCAGCTAGGATATAAAAGGCAACAAAGCAGCATGGAATTCTTACTGTGAACCCCATAGCATTCAAGTTTAAGGTGACCAGATGGTTTATCACCCAAACTGGGACACTTCTAAGAGGGAAATGCAGGCTGGGCACAATGGCTCATGCCTGTCATTCCAGCACTTTAGGAGGGTGGGGTGAAAGGATCCCTTGAGCTCAGGAGTTGAAGAACAGCCTGAGCAACATAACGAGACCTCCTCTCTACAAAAAAGTTTAAAAGTACGCTGGGCGGGTAACACATGCCTGTGGTCCCGGCTATTCAGGAGACTGAGTTGGGAGGATCGCTTGAACCCAGGGGGTCAAGGCTGCAATAAGCCATGATTGTAGAGACAGGGTCTGTCTCTGTCACAGCCTGGGTGACAGAGACAGACCCTGTCTCAACAACAACAACACAAGAATGAATGGGGATATTAATCATCACAACACTGCAACAGGCATAAGCCAGGACTGCCTCAGGTAAACCCGGCAGGATCCTCAGCCAACCCAAATGACTTGTGACTTAAGTACAGTCAGCGGAGGAGGTGATGACCTCAATATGTGCTAAGAGGCTGGGACCAGAAGACCTACAGGAGGTCGGCATAAACCTGAGGCTGATTTCCAGACTCCTGGGACTGTGTAGAGCAACAGCTCCTATGTCTCTAACAGTAGGAAGAAACCACAGAGCAGATGACTTCCTTCATAGTTAATTTGAACGTTATGTGCAAAGGTACTAGGGTTTGGGGGTAGCAGAGTAGCCACGTGGTTTTCAACTGTCATTTTAACTGGCTGTTTGCTGTCAAGCTATGCAAGTGGGGTTGTTAACAGCTCCAAACACACTCAGTCTTTTAAGCACTGTGTAACATTGTGACGGATTGCCCAGAGAGCTGGCTTTGAAGAAACAACATCTTCATCCTTCTCTAGAGAAATAAATTCCCTACTGGGCAATGGTAGAAATCAGCTCCCAGGTGCTTAGAGATCATTTCAGGGCACTTGCATCCTTCACCCTGCGTGGCCCTTGCATGCGGTCTCTGCACAGCAAACATCGCATGCACTAGCTTTGCTGATAGACTTCAGCTATACTTGGCAGCAAAGGACCAGCTCCCAGCATGATCAACAATTTTTTTTGAAACAGGCAAAAACCCAAACCCAATTCCAGGGCATGTGAAACCACATGTCAGGAAACTGATATTGGAACCCAAATGCTGACCAGACAACCACATACACATTTTGTGCCTGAACTGGAATGCCACACGCCATACCGACTGCCGCGCTCAGAGAAGTGAAAGAGGAAAGGAGGAAAAACTTACACTACTATCATCCATTCTCTCGCGCCTTTTAGATTTGTGTGTCTCATAGTCTTCCATGAGGGTCTGCATCAGATTCTTGGGCCGCTGGATTCCGGCAGCCTCTTCGGGGGTTAAGTCAGGCTGCAAGCTGGGGCCTTCAGTGGTGGGGGATGGAGGAGGTTTGACTTTCTCTATTTTCCCTGAAACAACACGAAGAGAAGACCCTTTCTAAGCTTGTCTGCGCATGACTGCTTTTAGAAAGAGGAGAAAACTGGCAAATAAAAGACCAACAACCTCTGACACAGATAGTGGTACCAGAATGATGGTTAAGTGTAGGCCATTTTATTATATTACAGGATCAAAGCACTTACAGTTAAAGTACAAACCCATCCAAAGATCTCAAGGACACTGAGTTCTAAAAAGTCAATTAGATCAAACAGGCCCGGCACACACACTGCAAATATATGTTGGACAGACAGACAGTGGCTCCAGTTGTTTTGAGACATGTATTCTATCATAGATCATAGAATTAGACTGTCAGAGGTGATGGCGCCTTAGAGACTCAGAGACCCACTTCTTTACAGATGAAGGAGCTTGAGACTCTGCCAAGGGAAGGCTGTGCTGAGGTCAGAGGGAGCCAGTGATGGTACCCAGGCCTGCTTTCCTCACCAGGGTCTATCCTCTAAATCACAGGTAGCCAATTGTCTGCTGACCTGCCCGGCTTTTTGTGCAGAGAGACCAGTGTTATAAAACTTTTGAATAAGGACGAGGCTCGTTCTTCTCAGGGCACCCTGGTCTTACACTGGCCAGCTTCATTCATTTACCTCACCCACTAGGGTCCTGAAACATTTGTGTTTAAGGCCTCCCAGACCTTAAGAAGTATACACCAACAAAGGCAGTGGAAAAGGTGCACACCAGCCTTGGGAATGGGGAGATTTTAGCTCTCTTGATGTCCTCTAAGAATCCTCAGGAGGACATCTCTCCACAAGGGTGGAGAGATGAGGTCAGTGGTTAATTCAACAGTGGTGTGGTGACTCCATGCACTCTCACAAAGACCATTTGCATCCCACCCTCCCGAGAAATGCCTGGCCCTGGCTTCTGGCCCTTCAAGGGGTGGGTTTATTGCCACGGAGCCCCAAAAGCACTTCAGAGAAGTATCTTCAAGTACAACAATTACGATTTCTCCAATTATGCCTTTTGTGGTTGACGCGGCTAGAATCTGTGAACAAAGGATGCAGAGGAAACACACAAGATAAATGGGGCTTGTATGGCCCCATTTGGGAGGTGAAAGGCCCAGTTGACCTCTTCCAGTTCCAAGCTGAAGGGGACCCACCTTTCTCCATCTGACATCCCAGACTTCTAACTTGACACCTGCCTGATGTAGCAGGAATCACAAGTGAGGCCTGGTGTCGGTGTTTCCATGTGGGCTACTTAGCCCTTTGTTGGGTATAATCTCCTTCTGATGAGCACTAGAAAGGCCTGGAGTCTGGGAAACCCAGGTTTTTAACTCCTGCTCTTCCAGTCCTGGGCTATGTAATTGACTATAGATCATCATTTCACACTCCCACTTCAATCGTGGGCTGATCACTTAAATTCTCCTAGTTTTAACTGCCATAGCTGTTAAACGGGAATTTTGGAAGACGTTGTCTTTGTGGTCTCTTCTCACTCAAACATTTTGCTATTTTATCAAATACGTTTGGCAGGATCCACCCTTACTGATTTTTTTTAAGGCATTTAGCTATCACATTTGGGGATTAGGTGGAAAACAGTTTTTACTATACAGAAAAGGCACTCCATTTCACAGCCACATTATGTTAATAACAGTGAAATTCATTGCTTTGATCTAAACTACCCAGATAACTAGAAAGCTTTGATATTAACAGTACAATAATAAGTATTTCAAAATCCCTAGATTCCCTAGAAATGGTTTCTATTTTTTATTATGGAAATTAGGGAATGCTATAATTACGCCTATAAACATTATAAACGTCACCCAGAGTAAACATTTTTCAAGATTTTGGCATAATTGGCTCTTCCTTCCTTCCCTAGACTTGCTGAATTATTTTAAAGCAATACCAGACCTCAGGTCACTTTACTCCTGCACACTCAGTATGTATCTCCGAAAATTCCGATTGACTTTTTAATTGAAGGTTTAAGAAACAGTGTAGCACAGTGGTGAGCACTCAAGCTCTGGAGCCAGCCGGTTTGGATTTGAATCTATGACTTGGCAATCAAATCACTTTGGGCAAGTTACTTACTCTTTCGCTATCTTAGTTTCCTCATCTGTAAAATGGGTTTGATGATACAGGTACCTACTGCATATAGTTATTATAAGGATAAAGTTAATATCTGTAAGGTTAATATTCAGAACAGAAAGCATCCAATGAAACCTAGCTACTATTTAATTGGAATCTCAAAGAATAATATGACTATCGGGTGAAATGAACAATTTCATGCATATTCTGCATAAAATTCTTGCATCTCATCTAGTGCCAGAAATAGACACCAACTACCAGGTGATTTTTCATCATTTTCCAGTCGACCTCTCAAGTGTCCAGATCACCTCCCATCAGCCATTCTCCCAGCATTAAACATCTAGAAAGCACAGCCTATATTCATTGCTTCTAGCTTCTGCCTTTCACACACAGCACAGTGAAACTCCTGTTTATATTTCTGTGAAGGCCGTTTTCACACACTGACTTGAATCATATCTGGTTATTGAAGCTTTTGTCTGCTTAGTCAAGCTATAACATCATTTTGGGGACAGGAAGGTATGTTTCACCTGTCTATGAATCCCCTTAATTCATTTGAATGTAAATTCCATTAGAGTAGAGCCTTGCCTGTCTGATCATTGTCAGATCCCAGCAGTAGCTGTGGTACATGGCACGAGGGAGGAACTCATGTTTGCGGAGTAATCAGTAAGTCCATTATGAAATATACGTAACAACCACAAGTAAATGCTTGTGGACTGGGACGGAATCTCCCACAGAGAACCAGAAGAAAGGGCTTAAATGCCTTCACCAAAATACATGAATTAAAACATTTTAGGTCTGCAGAATTAGACTCAGTGGCTTTGGAGTAACAAGTGGATTTGTATATCATTTCCTTTGTAGGCTTCATGTCATTTGAGCCTTGCAACAACCCTGAAATGTAGTTAGGGTGGATGTCATGACACCTGGATGTCATGACCACACAGGCTCAGACACCAACTCCAGCCCAAGTTACATGAGATAATAACAGTCACAGTCTGGAGCCCAAAACCCAGTGTTGATGATGGGTGAATTAAACGATGAGACGTATGCAGAAAGAATGCTGTAAAGAGGGTAAAGGATGACTATAGAGAAGTGGTCAGCCATTAAACATCAAAGACATTTCCTGCTTATTTATGATTTCATCCCTGGAGCACGTTTTTCCAGTTCTAGCCACTAGAGGTCAGAGGAGTAACAGGAAAGAAAGGCTGACTTAGGCGTTCTGGAGCAGGAGTTTCCAGGGATAAGGGGGCTGAGAATGGTTGCTTTGGATAACGGGGCCCATGTTCTGGTTCTCTCTATTTAGCCTCTCAGGAGAGACTGTCACGGGTCCCCAGAGAGAGAAGATACTATGCCTTATCCCCAGACTTCTGGCCATCATTCTGGTCAGTGTCGAAGGAAGCTAGCTCAGCCAGGCTTCTCTGCCAGGCCCTGTGACCTCTGATGATCCTCCCCCAGTATGACTCAAACCAGGCACCAGAATTCTGGGGGTCATCTAGGAATCACACAGGCTGCCAAAAGGCTGGAGAGCAACCTGTTCAACACCTGACAACTTCCTCAGAGGTCCAGAGTTTGTGGCCAGTGGTCCTCTCCATTAGGATGGTGACAGCACTTTGGGTGCTCTTCCCCCAATAGTGGACACTGCAGATAGCACCACAGTTTGGGTCTTGGAGATCATTACATGCATGTGATGCAAACAGTCTGTGCCACAGGCCTGGGAGCTCAATCACATCCTTTTTCATGACCCCATAAGGCCCCTTGAAGTCCCATGGCCCAGAGGACATGCCCCATTAGACTCCGCAAGCTGCATGCATCTCACCCAGCACCTCCCCAGTCACCCCAGGTCCTCTGTTGCTTACTCCCTCAAACTTTGCTCTGCCCTCAGTTTATTCACCTGATGAATGATTCAATAGCTTGTGATACCTGAAATTAGCCCCATTTTCAGTGAGTACATCCTGCCATCCAGTTCCTCACCTGCACTGAACACTTTATAGAACACTTTTTTTTATTTAAAACTAAGTCCCGCTCTGTCGCCCAGGCTGGAATGCAGCGATCTTGGCTCACTGCAACCTCTGCCTCCCAGATTCAAGCAATTCTCCTGCCTCAGGCTTCTGAGTAGCTGGGATTACAGGCACCCGCCACTACACCTGGCTAATTTTTGTATTTTTAGTAGAAACGGGGTTTCACTATGTTGGCCAGGCTGGTCTCAACCTCCTGACCTCAAGTGATCAGTCTGCCTCGCCCTCTCAAAGTGCTGGGATTACAGGCATGAGCCATCGTGCCCGGCCAGAACAGCCCTCTTGAATGACCTGTCACTATCCCTGGACAGCAACATGACCACACAGTGCCATGTAGACCTCAGGGCAGACCTGTATTGGCCCTGGCTGATGGCCAGTCCAGACATTTACAGAGCAGGGAACAGGTATAATTAATGTGACCTCTACAGTGAACATAAGGAACCACCAGAACAAAGTTACACTGAAATTCTGAGTGGAGGATAGGAAACATTTGAGTTTATTTCATGAACATGATTATATTCAAACTATTCCATCGGAATGATTTTAGACAAGCTTTTGAAGGTGTTTGAGGGTAAGCGGCTTCACTTGGTTAGGTTGACTCCAAAGCTGTGTTTCTAACATTGCGTCCTGTTACCTTAGCTTTATAAGATAGTACTTGATGCTGCAAAGAAAAAAATCTTGGGTCAAATTAAGCTTGGGAAACACTTGGTTAAAGAAAGCAGGCAGAGAGAGGGGGGATTTGGTTATCAGAGGAATTCTGGTTTCAGTGCTAATAAGATTGTGAAGCTCTAATTCAGGGATGGGGGTGTACCATTTCTCAAGTTTATCTAACCAGAAAATCTCACTTCACAGAATCTATTAAATACCTCAAGAAAAAAGCCAGGCACAGAGGCTCATGATGTAATCCCAGCACTTTAGGAGGCTGAAGTCAGA